GTTAGCAACCTAATTATCAATATACATAAGTTCCGTTTATATTTTTTGTTTAAATTTTAAACAGTTTTCAAAGCTTATAACTGTTTAGGCATCTGCAAAATGCCGCAAAAACTTTTACTATCATGAAAATAGAAGTCTTTACACTTGAGTGCAGACTAAGCAATATAGGGAATGTATTTTTTTTTAAGAGAAGGGGTCAAGGCAACTGTAACTTGAAGAGGCAGCAAGTGGAGTAACCCCTGCTATTCAGGGCCTGAATATATGTTCAGGGGTATATACCCCCCGGATTCTAGGGGGGGGGGTATTTACCCCCAGGATCCTAGGGGGGGTATTTGCCCCCAAGATTCTAGGGGGGGGTAAATAACCCCAATAACCCCCCTTATATCCGCCACTGGTCGTGATATTAAAATGGGAACGTTTTTACATTAATTTGATGTCAATTTTTGTGTTAAAATGGCGTTACTACAAAATATAAAAAGATGTCAATTTGAATTTAATGTTCGCGTTGTCTAGCTGGGTACAACATGTGATACATCCGACCAACGAATGCATGTAAATCCAATCTACAATTGATGACCATCCCGACCTACTAAATTGTGTATCTTCGACCAAAAACGTATGTCGGATCAATTTAAAGTTTTTTGAATTAAGGGGCAACTGACTTATAGATTAAAGGAATTATAGCAGCTAAAAACCACATGCGACGGTGCGAGTATGGTCAGATAGTGCAATATAGAAGATATGCGTAGGTATAAAGGTGTATTTTTCGACCTACGCAAATCTGCTACACTCCACTTATGACCTACGCTTTACTACAAATCCGACCTACTGACATGATGGTTCTACAGCTGCTTTTTAGCTGCTATACAGTGGCGGCCATAAGGGGGGTTATTGGGGTTATTTACCCCCCCCCCTAGAATCCTGGGGTAAATACCCCTCCCTAGAATTCTAGGGGTAAATACCCCTGAACATATATTCAGGCCCTGAATAGCAGGGGTTACTCCATTTGCTGCCTCTACAAGTAACAGTTCCAGTTGCCTTGACCCCATTTCGGTTTTAATACAGAAA